TTCCTACACAAGTTGTATTAAATAAGACAACAGGGAGATATGTTCCAAAAATACAGTGGGCCCATGACTTTAAACTCCAAACAGAGGACTTGAGTCCTGAAACGATTTGCTTCTTTGCATTTCAGGCCCTTCATCTGTATAAGGAAAATAGGACATTAGTTCACAGCATGGCTATATGTTTCAATGTGACAATGCATCTTAAGAATCTTGCATATGCCTACATGTTTTTTTGAAATATTAAGATCTTTGTTCTGAATAGTGTATGTGTTCCACATAGGTGGTTGTAGCAGGTATTTAATGTTTATTGGAGTTTTCACTGTCTTTTGGTGTAGCATAAGATAGAACCGTCTTCTTTAAGCATTCCTATGCAGGTATTTTGATTTTGAGAAGATACATTGCCTCTATGAAAAAAAGTGATCCTGACTTGGGTGGATAGTTCCTAGCACTAGCCATTAGGATATTGATGTCAGCCATAAGAAGGAAAGAAAGATCACTGACCCCACGTTAGGGAGAGATGATAAAGAACAGAAACTTCTAGGTGTAGAGATTTCATTGATTTTCATAGTCTTGCACAGTAAGTACAGCTCAAGGTTTGTATCTGATTACAATTATCCATGGGGAACTGAGGTAGTTAATGAATCATTTTGTTAATTATCTTGTGAGGTTTTCCATTTATAGTTGCTCTGATTACTAATGAGTGACTTTTAGACACCAAAGCATGCCTCAATGCTTTTTTTTTTAAATTAAAAATAGCATTTATTAAATAGTATTATAACTTGTAGGTATTGGATATCACAGTTCTGAGTGTTTGGTATGTGTTGACCCATTTAACCTTCACAATCTCATTTAATCTCGTGAGGCAGATACTACAGATGAGGAGAATGAGAAGTCAAAATTTCAGTAAGATGCCTGAGGTCACACAAGCAGGAAATAATAGAAGTTCTGAAGCTACACACAGCGGTCTTGACCATTAAATTCTCTTGGGGGCTATGCGATGGCAAAAGCCTCTCAACCACAAAGCTTCTAGGTCTTCATTGGGTCTGCCTATCATTCAAAGGTCTTGCTACAAAGCAGATTCTAACTCGATAGTTTTGAGGGGAGGCTGGATATCAATATTTCTAACAAGACCACAGGTGGCACTAATACTGTGTGGTCCATGGACTACACTTTGAATATCAAGGCACCAAACCACTACATTTGCACACTATTTTACCAGGAGCCCAAACTGAATTTCTAGGGCAAATTGGTTCACACTGAGGTTAGTGGGAACAACTAAAATATCCAGATGTCTCAGTCCAACAGAAGATGACACTTCATGAGCCTTGTTAATGAACCTAAACTGATCTCATGTTCCGAAACTGACATGATTTTTATGATTAGATGTAGTTCAGCATATAGTGATTAATGGAGATGTAGTCTCTACTGCACTTCTGAAATACTGGATTATTTGATCTTCACAGTAGGCTTGAGCAGTAATGGACTATGGCAAGTACCTTTGAGGAAACAGACCCAAGGCAAGTGGCTACTGCCATGGGTCACTTAGGCAGCAATGATCACACATAGAGGCCCAGACTCTTCTCCTCCATCAGCTGACCTTGATGTCTGGCCATGTTCCATTAACTGATTAAAAGTAAGTAGATGCAAATACAAATAAAAAGTAAATGCATACAGAGCAGTGATAGTACTGAAGCAGGTAAAATATAGCCATATTCTGATTTTGCTTTAAATACCAAGGCCAAAGGAATTTGGAAGCATTAATATTGAGTAATTTTCTATTGGTATTATGTTAATATAAATCTAGCTAAATATGAACATAGTTGCATATGTAATTTTATTATGCTGTTAAAATCAAAATTAAAGCTGTTTTGTTAGTCCTCTTCACTTCCTTGCCCCAAGACTACCTATGAGATGATATTCATATTACTTTCTTCCCAGACTTTGTAGGTTTGGTGTAGCCAGCAGGAAATTGTTTTTTCACCTCTTGTGTTAATTTTAATGGAACTAAATATGTTGGAATCACTTTTTTCATAAGCAGATGTTAAAAATTATATGAATCCATACTCCAAATTTGGAGTTGATCTCTAAATGTCAAATGTATTTACCATCCTTAGAAGACTAATGTTTTCCACAGGAAAAAAAAAATCCCTTTGAATTACTGTGGAGACAAAGTAATGAAGATAAATCAAGAAATGCTGCCAGTCACTAGGAAAGGAAAATACCAGAATCTCCATATTTAAAAACACTTGAGAATAGACAGCAAAGATCCTCATCAAGCCTAGGCCTTCTAAACATATTTGTGATTTATAATGTTATTTTTCTCATCATTGACAAAGGAATAATACCTGTACTCTTGAGAGAATTGGCTAAGTGGCACCTCTTTATCGCTGTGTTCACACATTGAGTTTGAAATGACTTGAAGAATAATAGACTCACTTTGGAAAATTGTGTTTTCTTCAAGTGTACACTTAACTCTAAAACTAAAGACTAGGTTTATTCTTAGTTCTTACTGACACTCCTGAATCATCAAGTTGACTGAACAAGCTGTGTAGAGGTTCTCCGTGAGAAGTGAGAGCTACAGTGCTCCAAGCATGCTAAGCAAGAGAATCATCAGTTCCTAATCATTTTCTTCCTTCATTATTTTTTGCTGGTGTCTATTTCAGAAGATATGGGTTGTGCAGAAATTAACAGATAACATAGCTTCTGCCTACCTCTGTCACTTTTCATTGGCTGCTCCTTCAGGACATTCTCGCATTTCCATCCTCAATTCCTTAAAGGCACCAAGCTCCTCCCAGCTCTAGGCCTTTAAACTCATGTCTCCCTCTGCCCACAGTAAACATCTTGGAGCCCCTTGTGATATATAGTTTGTAGTGATGCATTTCTTTGGCTTGCAGAGTGACTAATTTGTCTAACTCCTAATTTAATGTGTCTTTTCTACTAAACTGTAAGCAACATGAGAGTACGGTTTTTTTTTATTCACCATTGTATCCTTATCAGGATTTACATTGTTCCGCCCCTAGGAGTTTTTTGAATAAAAGTTTGTGAAGCAGAGGAAATTCTTGAGGTTTACATTCTTTACAATGACTAATGAAGAATGCCTTGTGCCTGTGGAGGCAATTAATCTACTAAATTTTTTAATGTAAAAGTAGAATCTTTTGTAATAATAAACTGAGAATTGTCCAGATGTGAAGATGAAGAAATGAAATCCTTAATGAGAACATATTTATGACCCAGTGAATATGTCAATATCTTGGACAAAGTATTTTATGAGCTTTGATTTGCAAGGATTCATGGATCAGTATCAGGAACAGGAATCTTGATTTCTTCCTAGTAACAGTAATATGGCTAGTTATTTTTAAACTACTTTTATAGGTCACTCAGAATTTGTATTTCATGGAAAGTAATGATCTTTAGTGTATTGTTTAATGTTTAGTTAGTCATTGCTATAGTTTGGAGTGTTCAGTGTCATTTTAAGATTCCTATAGTGTGTTGTTTCTTCTGTTCATCCTACTGACCACTGAAGTATTACTGAATAGATTCGTGATATTAAATAATAAGAAGTGAAAAGCTGGGTACTTTCATGTAATGCTTTAATTATTTTACTTTTCAAGAGCATAAGCTTATCACCCCCAAAGCTAAAGTACACTGAGATAAGAGTAAAACTCAACATCCAGGTAAGATATCACCATATAGTCTTCTCTTCACCAAATAAATACTAAACTGTGGTTGAAACTATAGAAGTATAGTTTGTAAAAAAAAAAAAAATGTAATTTTTGAGAAAGCAGGTTCAAATTCTTCATCTAGGGATATTCTGGAATATGCTATGGATGGAATCTTTTATTAAGTTATTAGAATTGAAGTGTCCAGAAGGAAATGTATTATTACTTCCTAAAAATGTTTGAATAAAAGCTATTACTTTGAATGATGTATTCTCCATAGGTAATTGCTTAGACATTAAAAAAGTAGCTCACACAGGCTTGCACTTTGCATCTTTGTTTTACTCTCCTTTGTAAGGTAGACAAATTGGGAAAGAAATAAAATATTCCACCCCCAATAGGTCAGTCATCCTTTAAAAAAAATCTATTGTGCAAAAACCACTTTTATGGTTCCTGTGAACTTATGACAAGTAATAGTTCCAGGAACAAGGCTTCAAAACCTAAGTTATGTTTTGTTGCTTGCAGTTACCTTGGATTTTAACTAGATGTACAAGTTGACTTCTGACCATGGGGAATCCTCTCCATGCATGGATTTATGGATTGTTGAGGCCATGGCAGATAACCAATTCCACAGAAGCAACTCCATGTTCTTCTGAGGAAGATCCATAGCACTGCGGAACAAGGAATATAAGTGAGCGATGCCACAAGACACTGCAAATGGGGGGGTCATCAAAATACTGCCCTCAAAAATGAACTCTGAAGGTGGAGAAGCTACAAGGAAAAATACGTTTTGAAATATATTCCTTTTTAGATGGTTTCAGTATTATGTTAAGAGCACCGATGGGGCACCTGAGTGGCACAGTCGGTTAAGCGGCTGACTTAGACTCATGTCATGATCTCACGGTTTGTGGGTTCGAGCCCCATGTCGGGCTCTGGGCCAACAGCTCAGGGACTGGAGTATGCTTCTGATTCCATGTCTCCCACTCTCTCTGCCCTTCCCCTCGCTTGTGCTCTCTCTCTCAAAAATATAAACATTAAAAAAGAATGAGCACTGATAGACAGTCACTAGGCATAGCATGTGCTTCTTAAGCATGTAACAGCCAAAATATCTGTTGATTCCAAGCTCATTAAGTACACAGTTGAATAAATTTGTTAAAAAAAGTTTCAGCATAGCCAGGATTAAGGGGAAAAAAAAAAAAAAAACAAAGAAAGAAATCTCCAGTGTTTAGAGAGGAAACACCAAACTATTCAAACTGTAGTAATAAAATATTTGGCCTTTAATCATTTCCAATTAAGTTATATTTGAAAGCTCCCCCTCCCCCACCCATAGTCATACACAAACACACCAATTTTTAAACGTTTTATAATGGTCAAAGAAGGGGGTTACATAGATATGTTTATTAATGGAACTCACTTTTTAAATTAGTTTTTAATAAGTTGCTAATGCATTTTAGCCTCAAATCAGTTCCATCCCATTCTCAATCCCTTGCCTGGAGTCTTAACAGTTAATGTCGTCTAACATGAGGAGAGCTTCCTGGGGCATTTGGGGAATGATCGGCTTGGGGCTTAAATAAGCACAGTTGATAAAGTTCTCTCTCTCTTCCTCAGCCCCCACTAGGAATGATAAAGGCATTTCCAAAGGTAAATCGTTCTCTTCCTCTCTCTGCTCCTCTCCTTCCTCCCCTTCCTCCTCCTCTTCCATTTCCTCCTCTTCCTCCTCTTCCTCTTCCTCCCCCTCCTCCTCCTCCTCCTCCTCCACGCAGTCAGGTTCTTGGACATCCTCTTCATCTTCGGCCTCTGCCCCCTCCTCTTCCTCCTCCTCCTCGCTCTCCTCCTCCTTCCCGTCACGCTGCTCCTGGTCGTATTCCTCCTCGTCACACTCCTCTCGCTCATTTTTCTCCTCGTCCTCCTCCTCCCCCCGCCGTGTGGTGGGAGACTGATCGGGAGTGAAGACCAGAGAGGGGTTCTGCACAAAGCTGTACATTTCCGGCAGCTCCGTGTCGTCCTCCCCGCCGCTAGGGGGCGCGTCGTTCCAGGAGGCGCCTTCCGGGGAGGCCTGGCCGCTCGCCTGGACCTGCTGCGCGCGCAGCGCCTCCTGCTGGCGCTCCAGCCGCTCTTGCTGCCGCATGTCCTCGTAGATCTGGTTCATGATGAACTGGGTGGTGTTCCGCGGCGCCCGCATGCCGGGGGCCCGCCACCCGTACAGGTTGACCGGCCGCAGCAGGGTGCTCAGGTCCACGGGCGGGCTCTTCGGGAAGGAGCGGCGAGGGTGGCGGCGCAGGCCGCGGCCCCTGCGGCCCCAGCGCTTCTTCCTGCCCGGGGGCCTCGCCTGGCCGGGGATCCAGGGCCCGCGCCAGCAGGAGCAGCAGCAGAGGCAGAGCGGGTGCAGCCCGTACGCGCGGATCACTTGCACTCGGCCGGGGGGGCTCCAGAATCCCTCCGGAGGGGGGCGCCAGGGCCCTCCCCAGGGCCCCCAGTTGGAGTACACGTCCCAGTGGGGCCGTCGCGGTGGTTGGAACCAGGGGCCCGGACCGTGCTGTTGCTTCGGGTGTTTCCTGGGGGCCTCATACTGGAACTTAGGAGCAGAGCGGTGGCGCCGCTTGTTTATCGGAGCGCCCCTGCGCCTTCGGTGGCAGGAAGACCAGGTGCCCAGCGGGGCCGGCGAGGCCCAGCCGCCGCCCAGGTTAAGAGGGTCCTCCCTTTTGTCGAGCGTCTGCGTCATCGTGCAGGGAGCTCCGGGAAGCTGTCGAGTTTGGCCAGATGCGCAGGTCTGAAGAGCCTCGTCGGCCTGCGCCGCACCACGTGCCGGCTCCTGGGATCACGCCCTTCTCTCCACGAGGACCCCTCTTCTCCGCCTGCTCGCTCGCTCTTCCTTCGTAATCTCTTGTCCTTGGCTCCCACGCTGTCCCGCCCGGTGGGTTGGGCGGGACTGGGGCTGGGTAGGGATGGTGGGGGAGGAAGGTGGTGGTGGGCGCCACGCAGGGAGACCCGCTCCCGGGTCCCACACACACCCGCCTCGGCGGAGGCGCGGGCTGGGAGCCGGGGAGGCAGGGGTTGCGCGTTACCTTGCTGCTCCCTCCCGACCCAGGTGCTTCACCGTCGCAGTCCTGGCGGGACTGAGGGGCCCAGGGCAGAGGCAGCCTTTAAATACCGGCCGGTGGCCACCGCGTCCCTGGTTGCCCGGGGTGATAGCCAATTGGGGTCGAGGCTCTTCTCCTGGCGGAGGAGCGGGATTCCGGGTGGAACCAGGTGCCCAGTGAAGGTTCCAAGCAGGCTTGTGACGCAGGTTTTGAAGGAGGGAAATAGGGTCCTGGTCTGGGGTGGTGCTCAAGTCTGATTACGTTTGCGGCGGTTGATTTGAAACCTGTGTACCGCCTGGACGTGCGAGCATATGGAAGATGGGCCTTTAGCTGAAGCTCTTGGAAGTGGGCCGGAGGGGTAGGGGGGCTTGTACCTTAGAAAACCTGTATCTTATACCTTTGGAGGATAAGGAGGTGAAAAGAAAGTGCCTGGAGGGGCGCCTGGGTGGTTTAGTCGGTTAAGCGTCCGACTTTCGCTGAGGTCATGATCTCGCGGTTCGTGGGTTCGAGCCCCGCGTCGGGCTCTGTGCTGACTGCCAGCTCAGAGCCTGGAGCCTGTTTCAGTCTGTGACTCCCTCTCTCTCTGACCCTCCCCTGTTCACGCTGTCTCTCTCTATCCTAGAAATAAAATAAAAATATTAAAAAAAAAAAAAAGAAAGAAAGAAAAGAAAGTGCCTGGAGTCTGAAAACTGGACCCCACTCCATACCTGTGCACACTCTTCTAACTCCTGGGAGTTGTAGTGCTTCATATGGGAAACACGACCACGAACACTTAGTGTCTGTGCTTGCAGCAAGCATGGGCTCGGGGCAGACATAGTCCTTACACCTCCCCTGTGAGGTAGGCACTGTTATCACGTCTTACTGATTAGGAAATTGAGAGGTTATCTTAACCAAGGTCGTGGGGACTGAGAGCTTCGGGGCTGGTATTTGAACCTACCAGCCAGCCGCAGAACCCAAATTCTTAACCCCATGACTCTCCTCAACTGCCCACCCACCTTAAATAGGACTCTTGGGAGGAGTGCGTGAAATCCTATGGGAAAGCACTTTGCTAATTGTAACATATCCTGCAAATGTCGGATTAAATAAATAGGACCACGACGTATATTCGTGAGAATACAAGTATGCCAGTTGTCTTTTCCGATGTCGCTCTATGTATACCAGAAAGCCCATTTCATTGGGAGCGTTGATAACATTACATTGCAAATATGGGCTTTGATTTAAATTATCACGAAGGTACTCTGACTGATACTATAATGGTGGACATATGCCATGATGCATTTATCCAAATCCATAGAATAGACAATATCAAGACTGAACCCTAATGTGAACTATCGACTTTGAGTGATGATAATGTGTCAATGTAGGTTGATCAGTTGAAAGTACCATTCTGGTGGGGGATATTGGTAATGAGTGGGGAGGGGAGTATATGGGAAATCTCTGTATATGAGAAACCTTACGCTCAATTCTAATGTGAACCTAAAACTGCTTAAAAAAATTGAAATCTATTAAAAATGTGCTTCAATTTCAATTCAGCGATTATTAGCCTCTAAACCTCCGGTTCTTACCCATACCAAGAGTATAGTTATAATACCTTTTCCGTAGGGCTGTGTTAAAGATTACACAAGGTACTTCATTAAAACGGCTAGTGCAGTTACCCCAGGAGCACTCAGTAGCTGTTAACTGTCATGGTTGGCATACTTAAACACTTTAGGAGAAAGAAGTTGATATATGTAAAGATTAGTAACCCTGCTGTGGATGATGCCAAAATAGGCATCCCTGCCCTTATGCCTTTTTCTGGTCCCATTTTGTAGAAACATCAAGGAAATGCTATGAGGCTGGATCCTAGAGAAAAACCATCCCAGAATATATCCCTTTATTGCCTTCCTATGGTGAGGGGAATTGCAGAAACTGGAACATTGCCCATTGGGAACCAGAGTCTATACAAGCCCCCAGTAAATGACAAAGAAGGAAAATGTGGGAGTGCCCTGAAGCCTGCAGAGGCTGTGTATGCTTTCCGGGTTGAAAATTGAGAACAGTGTGGGGGTTCTTGGATCAGGACTTCAGTCATTGCTGTGGGACCCACACACTCCACAGGCTTCGTTCAATTTTGTTTGCTCTTTGGTTTGCTGGAGACGAGCCTGCATGACTCAAAGTGCAGAATGCTGACACATTTGGCCTCCAGTGTCCCTTTCTGGATGTAGACTCACACATTTGGCAGTTACTCTCCCCTTACTCTGCTTAATTCAAATTGGAATGGTGATATCCCAGATTTATTTGTCTGAGGACATATGTGGTATACGATACTGGGTTTTAATTAGAAATTTTATTTTACTAAAAAATTTTTTTAACAATTATTCATTTTTAAGATACAGAGAGTGACAGAGCACAAGTAGGGGAGGGCAGAGAGAGGGAGACACAGAATCTGAAGCAGGCTCCAGGCTCTGAGCTGTCAGCACAGAGCCTGATGCAGGTCCCGAACCCATAAACCCGAACCCATGAACCGTGAGATCATGACCTGAGTCTAAGTAGAACGCTTAACCAACTGAGCCACCCAGGCGCCCCTAATTTGGAACTTCAGAAATTGACTATGTCTCCATAGTGGAATTCTCATCAATTTCTTGTTTTAAAGAAGGTTAACTCAGATAATTAAGGACATTGTTTTTGTACAATTGTTCCGCGGCGGCATATACATTTCATATTAATTCTCCTTATTAAAGAATATTATCTTGGTATTGTTCTTGTCCCATCCCTCTCCTTCTTAAGAGAAACATAAAATTATGATTTATGAGTTTTAGTTTTATCGATAGATTGGCATTGTAATTCTGACTGTTCATGTACTGGTAAAATCACCCAAGAAAGTTACTGTCTGAGTACGTTAAACACAGCTTTCAGAAATGCAGTTGAGGACTTTTTTTAAGACATCTTTTAATGGCTCATATTCTTTAAATACTGCAATATGAGGTGTTCTAATTCATCACTAAAATATAACACACTTGCCATGGCTTAATGTTGTCTTAGTTTTCCACTGCTATGTAACACATTCTCACAAACTTACCGAAACAAGGTACATTTGTTACTTCAGGGTTCTCAGGTGTTAGTTGGCTCCTCTGCTCAGGGTCTCACCAGGCTATGGTCAAGGCACTTGGCTGGCTTGGTTCTCATCTGGAGGCTCCCTTTGGGAAAATGTTATTGCGTTATTGGCAGAATTTGTTTCCTCGTGAATGTATAAATGAGGGCCCTGCCTTTTAGCTTTCTGTCGGCTGGAGGATGCTCTCAGGTTTGGAGGCCACCCACAAGTCCTAGAGGTCACCATCCATTCCTAGAGCATATTCTCACTTCCTTGCCATGGGCTTCCTCAATGTGGCTACTCAGTCCAATCAAGTCAGCAAAGCAGATCTCTCTGGTGCTTCCTAGCACAATGAATACACACACACACACACACACACACACACACACACACACACACGTATGTGTCAAAGCGTGGGCCTGACATTGACATTTGTGACATCCATTGTCTTTGTTATATTCTATCGGTTGGAAGCATGACCCCACATCCTACCAGCACTCAAGAGGAAAAGGTTACACAAAGGCATGGATATCAAGAGACGGGAAGTTAATTGGAGGATTGCCTTAAAGTTTGTTCATCACATATACCAAATACATTTAGTAAAATATGTACTCCATAGTAGCTAGTTATGACTTTATTTGGAAGGCTTAATGACATTTTGCATTTTTGAAATTCCACTAAGTCCCATATGACAGTATAGTTTATGCTATGCTTAATGTCACGCATGACATTATGTTGTTAAGTTGAAAACACACTGCTATCTTGGTGGTGGGTTTTTTTTTTTTTTTTTTTTTTTTTTTTTTTTTTTTTTTTAAGGATAAATTCAAACACTTGATGGCAGTAGTAACTCATTCAAAATTCAGTCAGCAAAGGCCTCAGTATACAAAATAAGCTATGAGAATATAAGANGCTATGCTTAATGTCACGCATGACATTATGTTGTTAAGTTGAAAACACACTTTTTTCTTGGTGGTTTTTTTTTTTTTTTTTTTTTTTTGGGCATTTGTGTGAATTGAAAAGGATAAATTCAAACACTTGATGGCAGTAGTAACTCATTCAAAATTCAGTCAGCAAAGGCCTCAGTATACAAAATAAGCTATGAGAATATAAGAACTTTGTATTTGTTTATCACAAACACTAAATTTAAACTATTCCAGTTTGACAATATGAATTACTAGATTTTAGCATTTTTCAATTGGCTTTTAGAAAGCAAACCTCAGTGAATTAAATATATGTAAAATTCTTTAGCAAGAAGTTGGATATACCTGATACATTTGGTCAGATAAGTAATATTCAACACATGTTTTTCAGATCTGTCTTTGTAACCAATTAAGTTCCATGGGAAATGAAAAAAGAAATGGAACACATATTATGCTCTCTCAAGAACTTGGCTTTTGCCACCTTGAAGACACTATGCATAGGAAGTTGAAACAACAAAGGTAGGCGCCATCCATTGGTCATAGAGGCTTACTGCAAATTACTAAGAGTCCAGCTTTTCAAAAAGTGAGATAAAAATTACTCATTACTTTCTCTTGATAATTTGGGAAGTTTGGGGATAGTTGGAAAACTGCTGAGGCATGTTGTACCCCGGGGAATAACCTTGTGGTGCTTTTCCGTTTATGACTCCTCATGTCATATAAGTAAGTTATGAAGAG